AACACAGAGCACAGTGAGGCAGAGGGAGAAGGGACCACTCCTGTGTCCAAGGACTCTACATGCTGTTTCCCCCTTCCCTGTCAGGAACTGTAAGCAGCTGTCTCCTTCCTCAAGCATAGGCATGGTGTAATTCTCAATAGTGATCAAGTATATGTGTTCTTGAATTATTTCCTGAGAGTATAAATATTCCAGGGGCAGGGCCATTCTTTTTTACCCCTGTCCATCCCCCAGCGCCTGTTTCTATAACTCTTTAGAGACACTGTAAATTATGACTGAAGGATTGTGGGACCCAGAGTCAGGGACACCAATATAAACAATGAAACTTGTTACATATCTCTATTATCTTGTTTTGATTTTGCTTTTTGACAGGGTCTTACCATTTGCCCTGGCTCGCTTGGAATTCTCCATGTAGACCAGACTGGCCTCAAACTCACAGAGCTCCATCTGCCTTTGTCAAGTGCTGGGATTAAAAAAAGCCAGTGCCAGCATGCACCGACAGCAGCTCATTTTTAATTAGACCAGACAGTGAACTAAATGCCTGTAGACATATTATGTGTGCTGTAGACACATCATGTGTTAGGAACTACCACTTCTACCATTATTATCAGTGTGTTTTTGTTTTTCCAGAAAAGAAACCAGGAGAGAGATAATTCCACCCACACTGATGAATTTAATGCTGGCGTCACAATTCTGGCTGCTCAGTGTCAAATGCTGGCCATGGCTTGGTGCCTGCCTATATGGACCCTGGGCTGCATCAGGGACCTCTGTGTGGGTTGCTTTTTTCATTCTTAGAAACAGAGACCTAGTTGCTGTGGTTTGGGCTTCAGGTAAATAGATAAAAAAATTGGAGCTATTGGGCTTCCTCCTGGTCCCAACCACTGATGCGGACTTAGGGCATGGCATTTTGAGATATTCTGATAAACATTGAACGATGTTAGTTTCCTCATTAAACATGTTGTCTGAGTGGCTAGAGAGATCGCTCAGGGGAACAGCACTTGCTCTTCCCCAGTATGTCCCAGGTTTTCCGTTGCAGCCACATGGTGGCTCACAACTGTAACTCTAGTTTGTTGTGGAATGATCTTTTTGTACACTGTGAAGATGTGTCTTTGCCAAGGCACCTTCTGATTGGTTTAATAAAAGAGCTGACTGGCTGGTAGCTAGGCCGGAGGTATAGGCAGGAAAGCCAGACAAAGAATGCTGGGAAGAAGGGTGGGGTCAGAGAGGTCACCAAGAGATGGAGAGGACTAAGACATGCTGGAGGACATGGATCAATAGAAATGGGTTCATTTAAGTTGTAAGAGATAATAATAAGTCTGTGCGACCCACTGAGCATTTGTTATTTGTAATAACTCTCCTTGTTGGTTACTTGGGAACTGGTGGGCAGAAAAGAAGTCTGCTTATATTAGTTCCAAGGGATCCCATGCCTTTCTTGCCTCTGTGGGTATCAGACATGCATACAGTGTACAGACATGCATTTGTGCAAACATTCATAATCTTAAAAGGGGTTATTTGTTTAGTATGTATTATTGAGCATTTTCTGCATTGTGGTGAGCTTTGTTCTAGCTGCTAGATTTGTAAGAGATAACAACTTAGTTAAAAATAATCCCTTAAGGGTACCAGAGAGATGACTCAGTGGTTAAGAGCATTGACTGCTTTTTCAGAGGACCTGGGTTCGAGTCCCAGCACCCACATGGCAGCTTACAACTGTCTGTAACTCCAGTTCCAGTGGATCTGATGCCCTCTTCTGGCCTCTGTGAGTACCAGACACACATAGGGTACACAGACACACGTACAGGCAAAACATACTACACATAAAGGATATGCGTGGCATCATTATCCCTAAAAGACCAGATGTTAGAAACCCAAATGTCCATTGATTAATGGATTAAGAAATGTGTTATAACCATATAGCAGGATACTATTTACTCATAAAAGCACAATGTATCTGAACCTTAAAAACATTGAGTGAAGACAGCCAGACATGAAAGGCAGTGTGATCCATTTATGTGAAATGTCTAAAATGGATTCAATAGAGACAGAAGGTAGACAGGGATATATAGAGATATATTTTAAGAATTATGCCATTTCTTTGAAATGGTAGAAATGTCCTAACTTTGAGCTTTTCTGACCATACTTAAAAATAAAATCCAGTGAGTTCTACCGGTGGTATATGGATTATACATAGTTAACATTATTATCCAAAAATTCAAAAATTTAAGTTTATAGTCTGGGCATTTGGGCTGAAGTTACTGTCTTTGTGATCCACATGTTTTTAAATCTTGGGAGTTTTTTGGGGTGATGGGGGGAAGAAGACCATACAATAAAGCCATCTGTCCTAGTTAGGGTTGCTGTTGCTGTGATGAAACACCATGACCAAAAGTAACCTGGGGAGGAAAGGGCTTATTTGGTACACTCCTACAGTGAAGGAAGTCAGGACAGGAACTCAAACAGGGCAGGAACCTGGAGGCAGGAGCTGATCCAGAGGGTGGAGGGGTGCTGCTTACTGGCTTGTTCTCTCCATGGCTTGCTCAGCCTGCTGTCTTGCGGAACCCAGTCACCAGCCCAGGGATGGCCCCACCCACAATGGGCTGGGCTCTTTGCCATCAATGATTAATTAAGAAAATGCCCTATAGGCCTGCCCGAGGTGTGATCTTATTGGAGACATTTTCCCCATTGGGGCTCCCTCCTCTCTGGTGACTCTAGTTGTGTCAAGTTGACAAAAACCCAGCCAGCATACCATCTAAGAGTGTAAAATGTATTAATAGGTAATAGGTGTCTGTGTCATTGTTTTTTTTAAACCTCTCTAGATCTATTTTCTAAACTGGAAACTTAGAACAATGCTGCTGTGCTATTCTATTTGGTAAGAGGGGACAATCCATGAGGCACCGCCCTGTTACAGATTAACATAGCAGTGTGGTTGTCTGACGAGCACAAACAAACAGCACTATGAGCAGAACACAGTGCAGATGTTTGCCATGAGTTCCAGACGTTCATTTCAACAAGCAGCCACTCCGTGGTGGGCCCGTGGTGTGTGTGTGTGTGTGTGTGTGTGTGTGTGTGTGTGTGTGTGTAGCGGAAGGAGAGGCCAGCATAGGAGTCTGTGGGTGACACAAGGTGCATGATCCACTGACCTTAATGTGTTACTGTGGCTTTAAGGTATGTGGGTTTGCATCCATTATACAAGAACAAGGGGGAAACCCAGGGCAGGAACCCAGTGGGAACACACCTGTGGGAGGGAGCTGAGTCTAGAAGTATGCTCCTAGAGGGTTTCTCTGGTGTCAGGAAAAAACAAACAAAAACATGAGCCCATTTGTGTACTGACTCTCAAAGTTGATAACCCACATTTTTCCGTCCTGTGTCAATTGCAAGCTCAAAACCGGGGACTTCTTTCACTATGGTCGGCCACAGCCTTCTGTGTCTCCACTGATGGCAATACCCTTCTGTTTGTCCAAAGATCTTGGAGGATCGTCCCCAAACGCCATTTCCCCACATCCAGCTTCTCAGATCCTCTAGGCTCCATTCTTTAATTTTTATGTCTATGTGCCTAGGTGCATGTTAGTGTAGGCCAGAGGAGGTGTGGGATCCCCCAGAGCTGGGGTTCTGAGCCACCATGGAGGTTCTGGGGGTTGAAGTTGGATCCTGTAGTGGTTCCTCCAGCTCTCCCTCAGCTCCTACCTGCCTGTTCCTGAGCTGTCATCTATAGCCTCTTAACAGCAGCCAAAGTGGCACTTTGGTCATAAAAGTTAACGGATAAAGACTAAGAGGAACCCTACCCCAGTTTCTCCCTTGCTCGCTCCTCCCTCCGTTTCATCTGGCTTTCTGGTTTTGTCTGGCAAGGGCAGTGTCTCACTTTGGTCCCTTTCTCATGTCATACCGAAAGAGCAATAAATACAACCAGGCGGGCAGGTGTCCGACTTCCTTGTAACACAGGCACCCATTGTCTTAAGGGCATACAAATACCCGCCCCACACCGAGGAGGCCAATGTGGGGCCATTGACGGTTTTTAAGTAGGTCAGATTTGCACTCAGATAGCTGGTTTTGCTTTTTGCATGGATAATGGATTTAAGGAGAACTCCTAGCTGGAAGCAGACTGGAAGAAGGACACGTTAGGACGCTTTTACAACACACCAGATGGGAGCCTGGACTAACTAAGGTTATGTGACTGCCAGCGGGAGGAGAGAAGAGGTCCCCAGACCAGAAATACTTTCAGGTAGAATTGGCTGGATCCAGTGCTTTGCCCGAATACGGGTTTTGGAGGGAAAGTTTTAGGGGGCAAACTCCCAGGTTTCTGGCTTGAGTCACTTGGGAGATGTATCATCTAATGGTCACTTGTGTTTTCGTTGAGACAAGTTCTCATGTAGCCCAGGCTTGTCTTGAACTGTGTAAGGATTCAGGCATTATGCTGGCCTGCCCTGTCACCTGGCAGAATGCACTCGGGCAGGTCCCTGGTCTGCCCAGGTGCAAAGGATTTAAAAGACAGACTCCCCCCCCCCCCCCTGCACTCACGCTGTCTTCCCGCGCTTCCCCTGGGGGGCAAACAGGACTTTTCCCTTCTCCCCTGCCGGCGGCGTCACCACGCCCGACTCTCTCATCCTGTTTCCCAGAACACGCATTACAGGGTAACCTTCATGTGTGGCCCCCTGTCGGGTAACTAGTGGGCAGAGTTGGTGAAAACGCAGCGGTCCTGCCTGGCCCCGGGGCCCGAGGCATTACCTTTCGCACAGGCGTCTGACCAAGTGTGTGGCTCTACTAAGGAAACCGGGCCCGGCCCTGCGCCCCTTCCCGGGGGAGCATCCGCTTCGCCCCAGCCGCCTCTGCTCCTCTGCAGCGGGCTGCGGTCTCCACAGTAACGGCCGCTCCCCGGCTGCCACCCCCTGCCCAGCCTGGCATTGTCCAGCTCCATGGCAACCCCGGGCACGCGCGCGGCAGTCAGCACGCAGCTCCAGGCCGGGCCGCAGGGCGCCCGTCGCTCCCCGACAGCGGGGGCCCGGCAGCGGCAGCGAGCGGGCGCCCCGACGGCGGCATGCCGGAGAAGCGGCTCTCGGCCGGTATGTGGGAGGGCCGCCGCCCCGCTCCCGCCCCCCCCCCCCCCCGAGGCTCGATCTTGCCAAAGTCTCCATTTGCAGCCAGAGGGGCCTTGGGCTAGCTCCGGGGTCACGGGTTCCAAGCCAGGGCCCAGAGGCCTTTCCTCCCCACCTCAGCCTTGAATCCTCCTTTAAAATGTAATCCATGTGCGGGATATTTTACTAAGCTCACCCGGCGTGTACAGTAGGGCCAGGCGCTGCCCTACGCTATCAGAGAATTTCTTTTAGACCCAAAAGGAAGTCAGATGGATCTGAGTGCGAAAAATGTAACGTTTTGTCTCGTTTCAGACCCGCCAGATATTACAGAAGAAGAATTTGTAAGTACGATTTAGAGGGGCTACCCGGTGTTTCACCCTGGGCTTTTGTCTTCATGGGGAAGATTAGATGGTGTAAGAAGCGTGCACTTTCCCTATTTGCCATTTCGGTTAACAGCGTGTTGAGGACAACGCACAGGCCTTTTCCATGCTCGGCTGATTTGTGTGTGGATGCTAATCATTGTCAAGGCTGTTTCCTGTAAGAGACATTGAATTTCTCCGCACTCCCAGTCTCCACAGGGCAGGCTTAGCTCCATGGTTTTGTTGTGACGTGCTGGGGCAGTTCCTGGTCGCAGTAAACATTAGTACATGGAGCTGAAGAAGGGGGTCGATTTAGCCGTAAAGTGGTTCACATTTATAATCCGGGCATCGAAGATGGGGGCAGGAAGATTGGGAGTTCACCGTCGTTCTTTGTGACACAGCAAGTTCAAGCCTACAGGTGATCCTGTCTTAAAAAAACCAGAAACAGATAAAAAACAAAAAACCCGGGCATGATGGTACTTCAATCCCAGCTCTTGGGAGGCAGAGACAGGAAGCAGATCTCAATGAGTTCAAGGCCAGCCTGGTCTACAGATCGAGTTCCAGGACAGCCAGAACTACATAGACCATGCCACAAACAAAAACCCCAGTAAGTAAACAACAAAGCAAACAAAAAACCCTGAAAATAACCAGCCAGACAACTAAAACTGAAAACAGTGGTCCACTTATAATTAATTGTTTAAGTGTTTTCTATACATGGTTCTCAGGTCAGAACTTTTGGAGACACCGTGCATCTTAAATATTTGCAAATACAGGCATCATTTGGGAGAGTGTATTTGGTAAAGCCTATTGCATATTTGAGGAACTTGCCCCAGGGGACAGACAGATGGACAGTAGCAAAGCTTATTCCCACCAAGGTTGGAATCAGAGCTCTGATCACTTCCATTATTTACCATGTCCACCAACATTTCACTTGTTGGCCGATATCTTACTTTTGGCTTTTTGTTCAGCAAACATGAGTGCTTATATATATATTCAAAGTATTATCCTGCATCTGGGGCTAAGTCTCAACATGTTTACAGTCCAACAGGGGCTAATAGAGGGATAAGTCAGCAGAAACTGGAAGAAGGGTGGAGGAGGGGGCCGAAAGAGCAACTCCAAACATCTATCCACACCAACATACAGGTAGACACAGCAGGTCAGAAGTGCTCCAGCATATTGGCAACACCCCTTTTAGTGGGAAATTTAAGTTATTCCAGGCACCGAGCCTGAAGCCCTCTTCAGTGCAGCAGGATTTCTGAGCCAGCTCCTCCTTTCCAGCACAGCTCCTGCCTGGGCATCTTAAGAACACAAAACACACCACTTAATAGCAGAGCACTGTGTGCCCGAAGACTGCTTTCCGGCCCTTGGGTCTGCCTCTTCCCCCATCCAGCTTCTCTTCCCCTGCCTGCCCTTGTGGAACTGTTGACCTTTGGGATCCAGGAGTTTGTAGCTGAGCTCCTCTTTTGTCCATACACCCCCCAGCCACTCTATAACCCATGCCGGCCTGGAACTCACTGTGTATGTAGCTCAGGGTAGCGGCAGACTTTCCATCCAGCTGCTCTAGCCTCCCCACTGCTGGGACAGATTACAGATGTGTGCTACCACACCTGGGTCCAGACACCACTTTTGATGTGGCTGCATATCCACCGAGCTATCAGGTGTCTTGGCCATCTAGATGTCAGTCACCATGTCACCTCTACAGAACACTTCCTTCCACTCTCCAGCACCCAATCTGCTTTTCCCTTCATTTCTTGTATTTTGGTAAGTGGTACACTGGGCATTGAGTCATCTGAGCTTGCTTTCTTCATCCCTGGATGGAAAGTACCCATCCCCACATCCCTTCGTAGCTGTATCTTTCTCTGCACTGGAACCCCTGCTGTTTTGCTTCACACTTCTTCCCCAGGCACAGGGTTTGTCTGTAGTCCCAACTGGGTAACACCACTTCAGAAGCCCTTCTCTGAACCATAGCTGTTCTTTGTCTAAAGTGTAAAGTGAAAACTTGCATTCATCAGTTGTACTGAGTCTCATCACTCCTACAGTGGCTATCATACCGCTGTTAACGCTTTCCAAATTTACCACTGTAAGAAACTGGATTAATAGCTGGTACCCTTGAATGCTGACCACAGACTAATATTTAACCTCAAGACCTTAACCTATGAGGTGCGGCTATTTCCTACATCTCATAGACGAGGGGGTCAGAGTGCACAGGAGTTAACCACTGCTGAGACCGCTTATCTAGTAGCCGTAGAGCCATTCAAACACTCAGTCTTCCTTAATCTGGCCTCCCAACCCTTTTCTCTATGATAAATGTCACATCCACCCTGTTTGGGTTTACAAAGCACTTCCACATGCTGCCTCTGGCCCCAGCCCAGCTGCCCTGCTCGTCTCCTGCCTTTGCTCTCACTTTGACTGGGTTGCCCTTCCCCATCCATTTCACAATCTGGCACATTCCTTCAGGCCCAGCTCATCTCCATGAAACCTTCCCAGCCTAACATGCAGACTGCCTTGGCGCTCTGGGCAGCTTCCCATGGAAACCAATTTGTGATCAGATTCTCAAATTCTCAGATGCTCAAACCAAGTGTTGGCTACTCCTGAAATAATGAACCTGCCTCGAACATACGCTTGGCCCTGCTTCTCTGAAATTCGATGGAGGTGTGTGTGCTCACCAATAACCTACATATTCTTAGAAAATGTGACAGAGACCCTGAGCCTTGTTTTTTGTCTCTCCCGCAGTTAGTTAAATGCAGGCACGTAACTGAGTTCTGGCTGACGGGCTGTGAGGAGTGCTATCTGCCTCTGCACATGTGATGGTTACAGAGGTCAAGTGCCTGACCCCTTCATCACAGGCTTGTTATTGTGGCTGAGCCACATTCGGATGCTGGGTTATTGAGATTCTAAAATGCATGCAAGTATGGAAAGGAAGAGTAAGCCAGTCTTCTTCTCGCCTGCTGGAACAGTGATGCAAGGCTGGAGCTGAAGCAATTACCTTGGACCATGAGGTAGCATCTTGAGGATAACAGAATCATTGTGATCAAAGGGAACCTTGGTGACAGCTGGGAAACGGCTGTGGTTACCCAGATAATTTACTCCATCTTTTAAGAAGTGGCATTTTGGCGTTCCAGTGTTTATAACTTCTTTATCCTTTTTCAACTGATGTAAAACTACATTGTTATTGTGGATGTTGACAAAAAGATCTTAACTTTGAGAGCATAGAGTAACGAGTTCAGAATCAACTGCTTGCCTCCCAGGGGCATTGTCTGCATTTAAATTTCTGTTTTTAGGTGGCAGGCTTGTTTGGGGACAGAGTCTTGCTATGTGGACCTGGCTAGCTTGGAAAGACTATACTGTCCTTGGACTTGGTGTGTAGTAGGAGGACCCTCCTGCCTCTACCGCTGACATGCAGGGTTATAGGCGTGCGTGGGTCATCATGTCCAGCTATTTAAACATTTTGTATATAAAATCTGAAGTTCCCTAACACAGCCGTGGGCTGCAACTGCCTCAGCATCCCCTTCTGTCTCCCAGAGCACATAGGGATACAGAACTTGTTACTCAGATGAATGATTTGATTCAGTGAGTTGGTTTTGCATTTATTTATTTTGTGAGATGGAGTGTCAGGTAGTCTAGACTGGCCTCTGTGTAAATGAGGATCACCTGAACTCTTACCCTCCAGCTTCTGCCTCCCAGGAGCTGCAGATAGGCACGAGCCACCACACCCAGCTTAGCATCTTTATTGTGTTTGGCTGGGTTTGATCATTTTCTCTATGGAAACAATCACAAAAAATTAATATGCTTTTATGTCCTTTGTGGAGCACATTTTTACTTATGTAAATGACTTCTTGCAAAGAAATAATACAGATAAGCGAGTGCCTCCCTCACGGCTTGTAATCCCGACTCCTCTTCTGGCTTTCACAGTGCATCCAAGCCTCAGAACAAATCTCTGTGGCAAAAGGAGGCCTGAGTTTACATTGTCTTATGATGCAGTGTACACAGAGTCAAGTTTATGAGAGTGGTTCCTGAGCCGGGCGTTGGTGGTGCACGCCTTTAATCCCAGCACTGGGGAGGCAGAGGCAGGCGGATCTTTTGTGAGGACCAGGCCAGCTAGGGATACACAGGGAAATCCTGCCTCAAAAAACAGGGGGAGGGGGATTAGAGAGACTCCTAGTACTTTTTAACAGCAAGACAGAGTTCAGTAGGCATAAGTAACAAGGATTTAAAATCTTGAATTTTTTCCCCCTTTTGTGCCTTAAAAATGATTTGAGATGGGGAAAATACTTATAAATAAAAGTATTAACATTTTGAAGAAAATAATTTGTTTAGAACTGTGGAAATAGATGTTTCATGTTTCAAAAAATGTGTGTGTGGTGCAGGCATATGTGTGTATATGTGTGTGTGTATGTATGTGTGTATGTGTATGTATGTGCCTGTATGTGTGTGTGGTACAGGCATGTGTGTGTGTGTGTGTGTAGTGCAAGTGTGTGTATGTGTATGTAAGTATCTGTGTGTGGTGCAGGCACATGTGTGTATATGTTTCTGTGTGTGGTGCAGGTACGTGTGTGTGTGTGTGTGTGTGTGTGTATGGTGCAGGTACCCTCGGAGGCTGGAAGAGAGCATTAGATCCCCTGGAGTTGGAGTGACAGGTGGTTATGAGCCACCTGATCTAAGTGCTGGGAACCACACTTGGGTATGAGCTCTTAACTCTGAGTCCTCCCTTTGAACCCTGTCATTTGTAAGTGCGTGTGTGATTTTTTTGTTTAAAGTTTTCTTATACATGAAGTCCATAGTTTCACTAGCTTTAAAAACAGGTAAGGGGCAGGAAAGATGGCTCAGTAGTTAAGAGCACTGGCTGACCTCCCAGAGGAACCAGGTTTGGTTCCCAGCACACATGGTAGGTTGCAGTGATTTGTAGCTACAGCTCCAAGGGGTCTGATTTGTTCTTCTGGTCTCTTCAGGTACTGCATGCAAGTGGTATACAGACATGCATGCAGATAAAAGTTATGTACATAAAATGAAATTTAAAAATTAGAAAGCAAGTTAAAAGTTGCTTAAAAGAGAGAAAACAATTTAAAAAGAAAAATGTCTTTACCATCAAATTAAAAGGGACTTTAGCCAGGTGGAGAGCCACACACCTCCCACACAGTTGGGAGGTGGAGGCAGGGGGATCAGGGCTTCAGACAGTTCAAGGTCAGCTGTGGCTATACTAGACCCTGTGTTGACAAAAGACCTTGAGGACCAAAATGCATGTTGCAATGCTTTGGATGGGAACATCCTCCATAAGGCTCGAATGTTTGAACACTTAGTCCCCAATTGGACTGTTGGGAAGGATTAGGAGGTGTGGCCTTGTTGGAGAAGGTGTGTCACTGGGGCTGGCTTTGGGGTTTCAAAAGTCCAGCCCTCTGTGGGTGGTGCCACCCCTGCCTGGGCAGGAGGTCCTGGGGTATCTGAGAGTCAGCCGAGTAGGTCGGCGGGACCAAGCCAGTAAGCAGTGTCCTTCCGTGGCCTCTGCTTCAGTTCCTGCCGCCAGGTTCCTGCTTGAATTTCTGCCATGACTGCCCTTCATGATGGATTGCTTGCTGGGATGTACCTGGGAGCTTTAAGCTGAAATAAACCCTTTCCTCCCTAAGCTGTTTGTTTGTTTGTTTGTTTTTTGAGATAGAGTTTCTCTGTGGCTTTGGAGGCTGTCCTGGAACTAGCTCTTGTAGACCAGGTTGGTCTCGAACTCAGAGATCCTCCTGCTTCTGCCTCCTGAGTGCAGGGACTGTAGGTGTGTGTCACCACTGCAGTGTTTTGTCACAACACTGAAAAGCAAAGACACTAACCTTTCCAGGGAAGCATCGGTCTGTTAAACCATCACATTTATGTGTTAATTGCCAGGTTAAGACTTGCCCATCTGCCTTTATGTCTTTAAGATGGAGACCAGGAGAAAGTGAGAGCCACCGTGTCTTGTGAATTAGAATATCAGGTTAGAAGGGCTTTTATGCAGGGAGAAAGCCTTGGATGTTTGGGTTTAATAGAGATTAGAATTAAATGATGGGTGGGAAGGAAGGAATTGTAATAAGGACCACTGAGAGAGTTCAGTTGGTGCTTGCTAAGACTGACATGAGTTTGAGCCCTATAGAACCTACGTGGTGGGAGCACCAACCCTGAAAACTGCCCTGACCTACACACACTAGATGGAAACGAGAGAACTGTGATGGGATGATGCAGAGACAGAAACAACACAATTGCTTCCATCAACAAGTCTGACAAATGTGCATAAACTTTTTGGTTCACCCTTCTGTAAGAAAATGGCAAGCTTGGACTAAAACTGGACACGCTGACTCCACTTTAGCAAGAGGCACGCCTGTAGTAAACGGGAGGACAGTATTCAAGAGTAGCAAGTACTAAAGGAGACCCCGCTTTCCCTGCTTCCCTCCCTCCTCCCCCCTCCCCCACCTACCTCGTGCGAGTCACACCTGTGGAATGATGTACTGGAGGAACTGAGTGTAACTCAGTTTTCTTGCTAGTCCTTTAAGCATCAATTTTGCTGGGTATTTGGAAGATACTAACCTGACTTAGGAAATTTAATTAATTAAAAAAATGTATGAGTAATCGGATTGTGGAAACTTAATGAGAAAAGCAGAGCTAGTAAAGTAGATTAAAGGCTTTCAGGTTTTTTTGTTTTTTTTGTTTTTAAATTCAAAGGCTTTGGGAATAAAAAGCTTCTCAGATTTTCATAGGTTTAGGGCTTAGAGATGCTCTCTGTGGTAGAATGCTTGCTTTAAGATTCGGTGTCTGATCCCAGCAGCCCCCCCAATCCCATGAACACACGCGCGCACGCATACACACACACACACACATACACACACACACACACACACACACACACACACACACACACACACACACAGAGCTCTTACCTAGCCTCTTTGATTTGCAGGACTGCCTGCTGATTGACTAGCAACTAACTGTGCTGGGAAATGCACTCACTTAAAGCCACGGCTTCCTGCTGAAATGCCATAAGGCCAGAGCAGGTAGTACTCCCACGTGTCATAGCTGCCCCAAATCAATATAACCATCAGTGTTTAATGTCCATGACATAGCATCACAAAAGAAATGCCCATTTTGATGTATTTGAACAGTATCTTAAGTTTCTATGCTTGTCTTTACAAACTGAGCATGTGGCAACACCCCAGTGCCAACTCACCATGGAGTGAAGGCAGGGCCCCCAGGACAGCCAGTCCCCAGCAAGAGGAGCTCAGCAACCAAGACGAGATGCCGAGGAGTCACGTCAACTTGAAAAAGTGTTTGTCACTGTAGAGTCTAGCGATGAGAGCTGGGGCTGCCATGTGTGTCCTTTGGTTTCTTTCCTAGCGATTCACTCAGCGTATCTCAGGAAAGGTCCTGTCTGCAGTTGTTACGAGAACAAAACAGAGCAGGTGCTTCACTCACCGCATGTGGTGGGTTAGAGGCCTTGGAACTGGAAGCATCAGTGATTCTTAACCTGTGGGTCGAGACCCCTTTGGGATGAATGATCCTTTCACAGGGGTCACCTAAGACCTCCGAGAACGCAGACACTTACATTATGGTTCACAACAGTAGCAATGCAGTATAAGAGACAATAATGTCATGGTTGGGGAGTCACCACAACATGAGGAATAATAAGTAGCATTGGGAAGGCTGAGAACCACTGCTCTAGAGTTTGTGAATTTGAGGGTTACTGATGAGTTGCTGGTCCACAAGGATCTACACCATTCCTAGAGCTAAGTTTAAATCCGCTAAAAATGAAAATTAAATGGATATTTTTTATAAAAACTAACAAATTTTGTGCCTCACTGCTTTTAACAGAGCACACCACTATACCCAGCTTCCTGTGTGACCATTGGGAGTTGAAGTCAAGTCCAAATTCTTACACAGTGTCTTAGTTAGAGTTTCTGTTGCCGTGACAAAACACCATGAAGCAAGTTGGGAAGGGAAGGGTTTATTTGGCTTACGCTTCAGCATTGCTGTTCATCACTGAGGGAAGTCAGGACAGGAACTTGAACAGGGCAGGAACCTGGAGGCAGGAGCTGATGCAGAGGCCATGGAGGGTGCTGCTTACTGGCTTGCTTCCCATGGCTTGCTCAACCCACCATCTTATAGAACCCCAAACCAGCAGCCCAGGGATGGCACCACCCACATGGGCGTGGCCCTCCCCAATTGATGACTAACTGAGAAAATGCCTTACAGCTGGATCACATGGAGGCATTTCCTCAGCTGAGGCTCCTTGCTCAGCTGAGGCCCTTTACCAACTGAGCTGTCTCTCCAGCCACTACTTCACTAATTTCTAAAAATTAGCTAATACTTCATAAAAAGAAAATTATCAGCCATATGGAAACAATAGCATTGTGTCATGTTTCAACTTTTGTGTTAGATTTGCAAAAATTGGAATATAATTATGAATAACAAAGTGACCACATGTATTGTTCACCCGACTGTGCCATGATGTGCTCTTGACACAATGGAAATGATGACTAATAAAATAAGGTGTTTTATGATTGGGAGAGCAGTTGTGTTCTTGGCTGTGGCTATTCATTTTGCCAATTTCAAAAGTGGATGGGACAGTTACAGAAAAAAAGTATGTATACAATCTGTGTGCAGAATACATACACTGGTGAAAGTGTCTATGTTCAAAATCAAGCAGGACTGAGACCCTGAAAGGTGAATCTCACGCTTGCAGAGAAGAAATTGAATGTTATGATTACCTTGTCATTTTAATTGATCAGCAAAGAATTTCACATCCTAAATTTCTTTTTTTTAACCCCAACACTTGCTACTATTTTTAATGACTGCCTTCATTTTTATTTTAAATTTGAATTTATTATTATTATTATTATTATTAATATTGTGTGTGTGCGCCAAGATGCACATGTGGAAGTCAGTGGACAGCTATGGAGTCTGCTCTCTTTCTACCTTTGCAGGGGTTATGGGGATTGAATTCAGGTTATCAGGTTTATGTGGCAAGAGCATTTAGCTGTTCAGCTGTCTTATGAACCGTCTGCCTCTGTTTTTGTGAAGTGCATATTTTAAAAGCCTTCGAAATTGATCGTGTGGTGCATCGGTTTGTGTTTGTTGATACTTCATTTATATGTTGTGTTACATTCTTCATGTCCCATTTGCTGGCTAGCTTCAGTAGCAAGGGCTTATGCGCGAACCGTCCATTCTGTTTGCTTTTTGTTGAGGATGGTAGTGGCTGAGGTGAGGTTCGAGTTGTTCAGTTTACTTTGAACTTACTACATAGCTGAGACTGGCTTTGAACTCTCAATTCTGTGCCCCCTGAGTGCTCAGCATATGTTGTAGTCCATTTTCCTGTCCCTTCCAGAGACTGTGTTAGGTTTATAGTGAGGGTTCAACCTGTAACTGACTTTAAAAGTCTCAAATATCTAAGTCATCATGATATAGGCATGCTCCAAAACATAACCATAAAATGTTTTTGTGTTTTTGCAGGAAAATTATTTGGCAACAGACGACTTCCTTGTGGATTACTTTAATGAGTTCTTAAGCCTTCCTGTGAGTACATTATGAAATTCTATTGGTATATTACTATAGCAAGGTATGTGCATATGTGTGAGTGTGTATCTGTGTTCATACATGTGAGTGTGTGTGTATACACGTGTGTGAGTGTGTGTGAGTGTATACACAGGTGTGTGGGTCAGAGGACAACATTGTGGAGTCAGTTTTCTCTTTGTACCTTATATGGAACCTGGTGATAGAACTCAAGTTGCCAGATTTGAGAAGCAGACACCTTTACTACGGAGCCACCTACCAGCCCAAAGCAAAAATACTTTGACCACTGGCCTACCTTATCAGCCATATTTATCAAATACAGTTTTTTTTCTTAGATAAAGTAAAGGGCTAGGTGAGATTGCACACAAACACCTTTAATCCAGCACTCAGGAGGCAAAGGCAGGTAGATCTCTGTGAGTTTGAAGCCAGCCTGGCCTACGTTGAAAGTCTCTAGCTAGCCAGGGCTACATAGTGAAACCTGGTCTCAAAAATAAAATAAAAATAAAGGTCAATTAAAGTAAGCTGTGGATGTGGTTAAACTGTTCATCCCAGCATGTTAAAGCCAGAGATGGGAGAATTGTCATAAATATTGGAGGCCAGCCCGGGCTCTAGAATGATACCAAAACAAAACAGAACAGGAAAGTATGAAAAGTAAATTAAAAAATAAAGATCAATTAAGAAATTTTGCTCAGCTCCTATCTCTTTATAGTTAAACATTTGGGCTTGAATCCTATGTAGACATGTTCCTGTTGGAGAAATCTGGAGTTGCCCTGAGCATCAAAAGACATCTGTGCAAAGCCTGACCTGGTTTTAGTTCAATAGCAATGACTGGCAGAGTAGGTGTTAGGAGATTTGGGAAGTACAACAGGAGAGTTCCTGCAAGGGTTTCCACTGCCCCATAGGAATAGTCAGCGAGGAACGGCACTTCAGAGGAAGTCAGTTAAAGTGCTCGGTATGGTTCCGAAAAGCATGAAAACTTGCTTCTTTCAAATTTTTACAAGCAAAGAGCTGGCAATGTAGCTCGTTGACGAGTGCTTACCTACCATGTGCAAAACCCTGGATTTGATCCCCAATACCACCAAACCCAGGCACAGTGGTCGTGGCACACACCTGTAATGCCAGCATTTGGGGGTGGGATCAGCAGGATCAGATGTTCAAAGTCACCCTTAGCTATGAGACCCTGTCTCAAAAAGACCAAACAAACAAAAAAACTTAACCAGGAAAAAAATGGAAAATAGAGAAGTCACAAATAATCTTGAAGAGTGGACCATAAACCACATTAAGGCCCAACCACTGACCATGCCTTTCAAAGAGGGAAGAACCGAGGGTCATGTACCAGTGACCCACACCTGAGTGCTGTTTCGTGAATTTTTTTCTCAAGGTAGTTTGTGCTCTCTTCTTGATTTGGTACACTAGAGACAGTAGAAATGAGCTACCAAGTCACCTTTGTTCTTTCCAGAAGGAGACCAGGCAGCACTCTGGGCTATTCCCGTGGCGTCCTCAGGCATCCTCTCTGGTCTCTTTCTGGCTCTCACCATCTACTCCTATATAGTTTACCATCTGTTCCTATTGCCAGACTTCTGCTGTTCCAGATTATAGTCTCTCCCACCCCAGGCTCTGTAATCTCCACCCCCCACAAAAACCCCCGAATTTTGTAAAATGTGAACAAGGAAGGTTGGTGTCATGCTTGCCTAGCATACATAGAGGTGCATAGTGAGTCCAGGACCTGCCTGGGACACAGGAGAGCTGAACTTAGAAAGAACGAAGAGGGAGGGCTGGAGGGAAAGGACAATGGTTCCGTGGTGGCGTGCTCGCTTCCGTGGTGGCGTGCTCGCTTAGCATGCTAACGGCTCTGGGTCACGACCCAGCTCCTCACGACCTCCCAATCCAAACCAACCAAACAAGAAACTTTACATCTTAAATTCCAGTTTCTCAGTATTTATGTGTTGGGGCCAAGAGTGGAGACTCTCTAGGTGCTTATTTGATTCAGGAAGTACATGGGTTAGTTACCTCCAGGAAGTAAATGTGTTTCCTCCTGCCTCCAGGAAGTAAATGGGGTCCCTGCTGCCTCCAGGAAGTACCTGAGTTTCCGCCACATTCAGAAAGTCTCTATTAAGCTGTAGAAGTCAACATAACAGTAACAGAAAACCAAAGCCAAGCATGATGGCTCCTACCTGTAATCCCAGTTTCTTGGAAGGGTGAGGCAGGAGGATTGCTCTAAATTTGAGGCCAGCTTGGACTATGTAGTTTCAGACCATTTATGGAGAAATTTATCCAAAGTCCTGCCAACGGTCAAAATACAGATTCCCAGTTTGTGTGTTTTCTCTTCAGGCCTTAGGTCAGGTGGCAGTGTGACATCTGTGAAGCCCTCTGTGGAGCTGTGCTTTTCTTGCACACTCTCTCTCTGTCTCTCTCTGTCTGTCTGTCTGTCTGTCTGTCTCTCTCTCTCTCACACACACACACACGTGCACGCACGCGCACACACACACACACACACACACACACACACACACACACACACACGAGTCAACCTTTGTTGTGCAGCCATCTCCCTGGACTCGCTTCCACTTTCTCTTTGCTTCACCTTCCGACTCTCGGCCCCCTCCATTTCTTCAACCCTGTTTGCCTATTTTGTATCACTTAGTGAACCCTGCCAATTAGCAGTTCTTCGCATGCACGACAGAAGAAGGAAGAAGCAGTCACAGATTTTCAGAAAGGGCTTGAGGGCAGGAAGGAGAAGAAAGGTGGATTCTCAGAGCAAGCACCTGGCAGAGTTCTAGACCAGACTAGTACTTAGGGATGTTTAGTTTATGAGCACTTGGATACGAATTAGAAGCCAACGTAGGTTTACCAAGGGGAATGGGGCCAAACTAAGCTCTGTCTTTTTGGATCAGGTACTGGTATTTTAGGCACCTGTAAATACAGTGTATTATGACTTCAGTACAGTATTATAAAAATAATGAATTGAGTCCTGCCCTGCTTTAAACCATGCTTGTGGCAGGGTTCGGCCATTGCATTTCCTGATCTTTGTTTCTTCCCCTTTTGTCCTAATTCTTCTCCAGCTTAACCAGCCTTCTTTGTGTTTCTAAAAACTGAATATGCCAAGTGTGCTGGATAGTTTTATGTTAACACAAACTAAAGTCATCTGAGATGAGGGAACCTCAATTAAGAAAAATGGCTCTGTACGATCTGGCAGCAGGCAAGCCTGCAAGGCATTTTCTTAGCAATTGATGTGGAAGGACCCAGCCCACTGTGGGTGGTGCCACCCCTAGGCTGGTGGTCCTGATTTCTATGAGAAAGCAGGCTGAGCAAGCCAGGGGAAGCAAGCCAATAAGCAGCTCCCCTCATGGCCTCTGCATTGGCTCCTGTCTCTAGGTTCCTGCCCTGTGTCAGTTCCTGCCTTGGCTTTCCTCAGTGGACTGTCGTTAGTGCTCAGACATCTGTACTGGCCTGCCCATGGGGTCCTGACAAGATATACCCTCAGCTAGCCACTAAGAGCAGCACCTGTGCACACTCACTATGATCCCTTTTTAAAGGGCCCGGCCCACCTTGCATCCCCCTCTTCCTTTACCCTCTCTGTCTGTCTGTCTGTCTGTCTGTTCCTCTCTCTGTGCCCCTTTTCTCTCTCCTCCTGCTCTGTCCCCAGAGGCTGGTCTGCCCCTTCCATCCCTCTGCTTGAACCCTGTCACACGGCTTCTTTCTCTGAGAGCCATTTAAACAGCTATGATTCAGGGTGCGTAAGCCAAATAAACCCCTTCCTCCCCAAGTTGCTTTTGGTCATGGTGGTTCATCACAGCAATAAGGACACCAAGTGCTCCAGCCTGAAACACTCTTCTCTGAGATATCTTGCTCTTGACTTATGTCACTTCCGTTAGCCTCCTACCGACTCCATCTGAGATAATATCCCCAGTACACACTGTTAATAGTGCTTTACTTGCATCTAAACTCTCATCATTATCCGTGAAGTTAATTTTCAGATGTTTGAGCTGATGAACTAATTGTAACCTGTAGGTTGATTCTTAAGGCCATCAGGCTGAACAGAACATTCCTTCACTGTGGAATTCAAGACTTTTGCAATGTGGCCTCAGCGTAACCTTCCCACCCAGACTCCCTTCACAGTGCTTGTCCTTTAACCCACCAAGCCACGTGGACTCCACGGAGGAGCTCCGAGCAGCTCACTGTAGTTATGAAGAGTGTGAAGGAGCTGCCATTGCTGCTGGCCCCTCCATTCCTTACCCCTGGGCTGTTGGAAATGCTATACACTTAACCTTTGCATTTCTTTCTCTGAACAACAAAACCGATGCATCTTACAAGATCGCCACGGAGTGATGTAATGTGTGTGTGACATATTAGAGTTTATTTTTCCTTTAACCACATGGACTTACCTTCAATCCCTGAACTACAGGAGGCAATCCTTTCGGTTGACTTGGTGGATCCATGTCAGCCTGGAGCATTCTGTCATGTCACACAGACCTGTCACTGGTTTTGCCTTTCAGAAATTATTTTTATTAGAGACTTGGATGAAAAAAATTATAAGCAGTATTTTTCCACTTTAAGATCACTCGGCTAGTAAACGACATGGCCTACCCAAGGCCACATGGTCCAGAAAGCTTTGCGTGTCCAGCTGTGGAACTCGGGGCAGAGTATATAAACAGATCGTGTGGATAACAGGCTGAGGTCTCATGCTTATTCTGATACATAAATGAAGTAAAACAAACAAAGCTAATGTGTTCTTAGGCTACATTAGCTAAGTGTAGTTCAGATCAAGAACAATATTAGTCTGGAGCATAGAAGGCCCTGGGTGATTTTTGGAAAAAGCGGAATTGTTAGACCACATTTGGAATATTGTGTTGCGATCTTAGTCCCATATGTTAAGAGTTGCTTTGCCAAGCCAGTCTCAGGGAGACTCAGCCTGTGAGCATGCAGGAAACCATGTCAGAGGAGAAAGGGTTGAAAGACGTGTTACCCAGGCTAGGCGGCAGGGGTGGAATGGAGCAATCTTT